TATTATTATTATTATTATTATTATTATTATTATTATTATTATTATTATTATTATTATTATTATTATTATTATTACCTTTTTGTACCAAACTAATGCAAGAAAGCGAGCAAATGCTGAAGTGTGACTGCAGTATATATTTTGTGAAATACTTTGTACAGCTTAATGTCCAATAAAAAAAGTTATATCTGTCTTCAGTGTAGTTTCTAGCACACGATTTTCCCAAGGGGGCAAAATCCTTTTATATACAGCAAAGAATAAGCAAGAAAAGTATGGGCTTTTTAGCATAAAATATGCAATTGAAATTCAGAATCTCTCAATCGGCTATAATTAAATCGCAAGGCTTCTGACAATCTTTAGATACTGTAAACACATGGATCCTGTTCACAGGGCATGCAGTTAATATTATAATGGGCTGGGATCACTTCTGCATCTACCTGTGACTTGCATAAATTCAGTGAAGGTTATGAACAGACATTTATGTATATAGCTCTTGGCAGGTTCTCAGGTCACACATACTTCTATTGAAAAAAACAGTAAATTAGGAATAGATGTAATTCTTCTTCTGCACATTTTGCTATTGCAAATATAACTAACTGTGGTGTTTTAAGAAATGCACCAAGAATGAATTGTTGTCAAATTTCTAACATATGGAAAATTACCTAAAAACCTATTTTGTTATTATCAAGACTGTAAATATCATTAGAACTTTCCTGAAATAAGTCCATTTATGCATCCAGGGTTTGAAAGAGAAAATACAAATTCTCACACAGCAATTTACTTTAAAATTTGAGTTTCTGTACTTGGTATTTTTAAATGGTCATTGTTGAAAGTATGGTATCAATTCTGCGTCATCTGCATAATCCTGACTCATTGATTCTCTTAATTAGCTAAATAGGCCTATTGGGTATATTTGGCTTTAATTCAGAGACATTGGGGTTTTGGACAGATTGGCATGATCAAGAAAAAGAATTTGCAAGGCTCCAAATTATTCCTAGGCCTAGTTAAAAGTACATATACAGTTTCCCTACTATTAACAAAGGTGTAAAGTTCTGAAGGAGTGTTTTGGGGGTGTATTTTTCAATCTAGAAAGTATCATCCTTGAGTGATGATGCAAAAACATTCTAACAGACTGATAAAGCAGCTGAGTTGATTTCACAAATCAAAGTGTGTGTGACATATACCCACTTTGTACAAAGAGGGAAAACATGTTTTATATATATTAATGTCTGTGATATGCAAAAATAATAACCTTTTCCTATCCAGAGTATTGTGTGCGTTCTGCAGCATGCATGGACTTTTTTCCATGAATGTGCCTAGCCATCACTTCATTAAAGATGTTGGTTTTTGACTTGCATCTCTCTGGATGCCCAGACCTCTCTCTATCCTCTGAGCTAAATGGAGAAGAGACCATTTAGAGATCTCTAAGAAGCTTTGTCTAAGGCCTGGGAGAATGTTTTCAGATGATAACTACAGGTTTGATTTTTTTAATGTGGTGGGGAAGACTTCAAGAAAAACAATTGTAAACCGTTTGGACTCACATAATTCATTTCAAGAGATTAGGGGTAAAATATTTGGGCTAAAAAAAACACTGTGATGGCTATGCTGGTATAGTAGTGTGTTCTGGTGCAGTTCTGAAGGAAGTTATCCAAAGGAAGCATTTGTTGGAACGATACATTTTAAGATCAAACATCAAAGATCCTTCAATCTCCAGAAAGACTCCATAAGTCCCGATCCAAGTTGACTGCCTTAAATTGGATGTGTATTTGACAGTAGTGAAATCTATTGTCTTCACTGTTTATAGAAGCAGAACAACCATACACTAAGGAAAACCGGGGGTGTGGGGTGGGGGGAGGTTTGCACTGGGGAAAAACCTGCACCAACTGCAGCTGAATCTACAACTCAATTTTGATTAGCTATTGCTTACAAAATATGGAACTGCTTTAGGGTTGATGTTGCAAGGTCTGAGTATGTTAATTGCTTAGTGGTTGGCTCAAGTAGATGCCTGTTTTGTTTTTCACAGAAGGGTTTATTGAGAAGCCACTGAAAATATACGAGACATTTTAAAAACATAACAACCCTCCCCTCCCATTTAAGGCAAAACAAAAAGGCAACTAATTTGAATCAATATTATTAATAAACAACAGTGTTGTGATATATTCAAAGCAAACAGATTCCTTCTGGCTGTTAACTTCCATTGTGTTCGGTCTGTAATGGAGCAATCTGGGAAAATGTTTTACTTATCAGGAACCTGAGAACTGAAATGGAGAAATACTATAATTAATGCAGCTTAATCTGGCTCAGCCTTACCCAACCTGATATCTTCCAGGTGCTTTAGACTTCAAGTCCCATCATTCCTCTCAACGTGATAGGTTCCCTAGGGGTGATGGGAATGATAGTTTAGTACATCTGTCTGCATTAGCTTGAGTGTGTAAATTTTGCTATCAGCCATAAAGATTTCTGCTGTCACATCCAGCACTAAGGAGGCTTAAGCTATCCCTCTCCGACGAAATAATTATTACAGGTAATCCTCATTTAGCTACTTCTTGTTTAACAACCATTTGCAGTTACAACAATGATTGAAAAGTAACTTTGCAACCAATCTTTGCATTTATGGCCTTTCCAGATTTGTAAAGCAAAGGAAAACTGAAATAAACTCATAAGCACAGTTAAGGTTTCACTTAGGAATTGCTTTGCTTAATTATTGAATTCTGGTCCCAATTGTAGTTGCTAAAGGAGGACTATCTGTATTTTGTTGATTTCCTAAAAAGAACAAAAAACAAAACTCAGGTCCAATTACTAAAGCAGTGAATTTTCAAAGGCTGTTTTAGTGTGGATATGAAAGTTGCAATTTATATTTATGTAGAGTTGTAATTCATGAACATGATAGCTAAGGCATTCTAACCCCACAAATCTAGTACCAAATTGATAAGTGTTGGTTGTAAGAGTTATTACAAAATGACTGATGCATTATGAAGTTTTTCTTGTGCTGAACCTAGGGGGCCCAGTGCAACCCCAAGGAATGCAATCACAAAGCCAGGAGCCACCCCAAGGGTTCCCACCGGGGCATTCAGGAAAGTCCTCCAGTTCTCTGCCTCCACGTCCACCTGGCCCTGCGATTCATCCATCACGTTCCCAGGCCTCAGGTCCTTCAAGTGCTGGGCCTCCAGCAGACATGAAGACTGAGCCCTCACCAGACTCATCCCAGAAGCCTCAGTCACATCCTCAGCTAAAGTAAGGCATTCTTGTCATTTTCTCCTCTTGTTCTGAAAATGCTTCTCTTGCCAAAAGTGGTTGGAGTGCAGATAAAGAAGTACAAAATTCCTTTCTTTTTATAACAGTTTTGTTTCTGTTTTACCTGGAGTGGGTATATTTCCAGCAGACATTTCCAATCTGCTGAATAAAGCAAATCTCATGTAGTACGTATAGATTTGAGTTTGTGTCATCCCCATTTTCTTTCTAGCATCTCAGAAGGTGTTGATTCATCTTTGGTTGTGCTGTTTATGAGACAGCTGGTAAGAAAGAAAGAGAGACAGAGAGAGAGAGAAAAACCTTATCTGCTTAAACTTTTAACCTTGCAGTCACTCAGACAAGAAAGATTGGAAAACCCAGATAATGTTTTCCTTGTCAAAAAATATTTCCCATTAAAACTAGAGATAGAACATTTGTTCATTAACTATCTATTACATTCTATGCTTAAGAGTTCTTCTAGGGCCACTTTTAGGCAGTGGAACTCATTTTCATATACTTGATTAGGTATAACAGAATCTAACTGTATCTTTGATTTTAATTTTTGTCAAACTGATCCTATTAAAGTATGGTTGAAGATGGCCACTTACTTACTCTATATATCCTCTTGGTGTTTTGGAAACTACTTTGAAGATTAATATACTGCATTCCATGTTCTGCTTCATATATTCAAATTCAAATATTCAAATACCCAAGGTATATTGCTTAACAATTTAGAGATAGAAAGATTTCCCGCTGCCTTCATTATCAAAATGCATGACAGTAACAAAGAATGGTAAATGCCAGGATATTTTGTTTGCCAAAATTTTGTCTAATAGTTTACAGACTTAATCTTCAAAATAATGCTTACATAATTCTCTTTTGCTGTGAAGGTGAAATAAGGTAATCACAAAAAAGGTTTTATAAACAAACCACAGGGCAGACAATATGATAAATCAATAAATGGCCTTAAATGCATTATATTTAGTTATGCATGTAAAATAAAACTTCAGTTCACTACTCATTTTTATTATTTCTACCATATACTTTTCCCAGAAGAGGTGAAAATTCAAAACTTATTTAATTCAAAACAAACTAAATGGATCAGTGTGGGGTAGTGGTGAAGGTTTTGAATTAGAAGTGGGAAGGCTTGGGTTCAAATCTACCTTCAGCCACAGCAGCTCACTTTAGGCCAGTCGTTGTTGCTCAACCCAACCTACCTCAATTAGAAAGAGGGAGCATAATGTATAGTGCCTTACATTTGTGTACAGGTGGTATATAAATATAGTAAATAAATAAACTAGAAAATATCAAGATATATTTTTCCCTGATGTAGGTTTCCATCTCTAATTGTTTTTTTTTTAATGCAACAGATATTTAAGGTTAACGTTTCTCTCCCTGTTAATGACTGGAGTCAAAATGGCTAAACATGTTACGTTTTAGAGATTTGTGAAAAGAGCACTTTTCTTGTGTTCTTATCACCTCAGGAGCTTGTAGACTACACCACATTTCACTACACACAGTTTTAGAGGTCTGTTGAAAAATAACACTGACCAGAAAGATTGCAATAAATATAAGTTTAAGTGTGTTTCAATAAACCCATCTTCTCCTTCATGGTGTTTCAGATATCTTAAATTTCAAAGGCAATGCATTTGTGCAATGTTTTTCGGACATCCCTAATATTTTGTTTCCTTCTTTCATGGTGTTCTTATTAAGAAGTATAAGAAGATAGAAGTATAAGAAGTATAATCGGCTGATTGAAAAAAGACTTTTATCAAGAGTGAATCTAGTTACTAGTTAGATAGGTGACCAGAAAAATCTTTCAAGCCCATGGACCAGAGCAGGATCTTGAAAAAAGTGTTTTGGAAGAATTTAATGATGAATCACTTTCCATGTCATTGGTTAGAAAACAACACGGAAACCTGTATGTAGTCACCTGCAGTTGAGCTCAGCTTAAGGGAGATTTTGGCTTTTATTCAAATTTAAACTCCCCCCTCCCAATTCAATGCTTATACCAGTCCTAAACATTTTTTTTCAAGCTTGCGACTTCTTAAGGGCTATTCCTTAATATTTGAAAGTTCTATGCACATAGTTTTAAAGCATGCTGGATGGCTCGTATCTCAAGTTACAAATTTGCTCCAATCCACATTTCAATCCCGCCCCCCTCCAAATCTTACGAAGAAAAAAAAAAGCATAACCAAATTGCCAATAAGATTAACTGTACTCAGTGATTGCAATCTCACCCACATCTTCTGGCTTAACATGTGCATGCAGGTTGCTAGCCTATATGTAAATATTTCACTAAGCCATTTATGTTTCAGTTCCTAATCAAGGTAAAGAACTTTTATCTTTCCACCCCTCCCTTCTCAATGACTATTAAACCCAAATACAGTGAAAACGAAAGACTGTACACACTTACAATATTGCTCGCTCTGGTTTTCTGGAAAAGGGGGTAAGATTTTTCTGGAAAAAAATGATTTATTTGTCATTAAGCACAAACAAATACAATTTTCCTTTTTTTAAAGTATACTTAAAATTTATAAGGTTAAAAATGAATAATATTTTCTACCATTCAACAATTTGTTTCCTTCCATTCAGCCCATTCCAACTTCCCTGTCTTTATTTATTCTCAATTCAATGGATATGGCTGCCCATTTTAACCACATGACTATAGGCAGCTAACAGGGAATAACATCAATATCAAAACTTCATAAGAAAACAGTAAATAACACTTACGAAAGCCAAGATGAAGCCAAGCAACACAATCAATGCAACCACGATACAAGCTTAATCGCTTATCTCTCAGGCTCTGCAACAGAACCAGGTTTTAGTGCCTTACAGAAAGACAATGGTTTGGGGCAGGTCCAATCTCCAGTGGGCGGCATTACAGAAAAGGCTTTTCCACCAGGAATGGAGGCACTTCTGAGTTTTGATGTGTGTCAGACAATTGTTTCTCAAGTCAAAACTAACAGTTGTGCTCACCTATTCAAAGAATGTCATCTGGATGTTGCCAGTTGTATCTCCTACTCATATTATATGTAATACCAATTGAATTTTGAAAGGTAGGGGGCTACATAAGTCACGAATAAGAAAAGAAAATCTGTATGCAAGTTTCAAATGTATGTCACATTCATGTGTGAGTTTTTGTCTCTGTCTTGCAGCAAATCACAATCTCTGACAAATGCCTTCAACTTCACGGAATCATCCTTCTTCCGATCATCTGTGAATGAGGATGAAGCAAAAGCTGAAACCATCCGAAACTTAAGAAAATCTTTTGCCAGCCTGTTTTCAGATTAACCATGGCTAGTTTGGTTTTGCATCTCCATCAAATGTTCGAAAGTCTCCTCTGAATATCATTTCACAAACACTATTTCTTTATGAATGATCCTTCTTTGCTGTTTCAATTGTTGTATTAAGCAATATGTTATGTTCTTTTTTCAAAAGGGGACTATAATGCGTTAACACTTCAGGTATCTTTTTTTAAAAAGCCACTTTAAAAAAAAAAGCCAAGAAGAAAAGCTCTGCAGCCGAATGCTTACAATCCTTCTTAACTGTGATTCTGTGGCCTTACAGTTAAATGCACTCAATCATCCCATTGGACCCTCTGTTGTGATGTCTTTAGAGCAGCACACCATTAAATTGCAAGTCTTCCCTCTCTCACAGTTTTCTCTAGTACTGAGCTGCATGTTTATTTCTTCAAGATATTTTCTTCTGCAAAGCTACGTTTTTGAGACTTAGTTTCTTGCCCTCAGATCTTTAGGATATAGTTTCATAATTGTATTCATGTTAATTGTCTTTCACCTTGTTAGAAACTTTAGAAAACTTTCCATCCGCTAAATGTAGTTTTCCTATATGCTTTAAGAGCAAATTCTAGAATGACCCAATGTTAGAGCCTTATGTGTGTCTATATATGATTCTATTCTCTTACTCCTCATATATTTGTTGTGAAATTATTTGCAGCCTGTTAATAGTGCCTTTTGCTTTGTAAAATGTCATGCATGGCCTCATGTCACCATAGTTCCATATTACATCCCAATAAATGCAAAGCTCTATACCTAACAGGAAATCTGCCTCTCCTGACTTCTCTGCAGTGTGGTAATGATAGCAGAGGGAGATCTGAAGCTGTATTTTTCTCTTAGAATTTATTACAATCATAGACCAGAGACCAGAACAAATAAAAACACTATCAATATACAATTAAAAATTCTAGAATAAAATAATAAATTAAAAATTCTAGAATAAAATAATAAATAACAGATAAAATCTATGATAAAATCTGGTCTGTCAATTATACATGGCCTAACTATACTAAAATCACAATCCATAAACTGTGTGGCCTATAGTTAGTTTATTACTAAAAGGGAAAGGAAAAAGCAGTGCTTTTTGTCCTTTATTTTACTTTCAGTCAAAATGCGTTACCAATAAACAAAGAAGAAGAATATCTCAGAAATACAATTTTAAAGAAATCAATCCCTTCATTGACACACTTATTCTGACAACATGTGCCTATGAATCTTGGCTTGTCTACAGAATGAGTTATCTTATGGAATAATTTATAGAATGCCAGGTCCACTCAGTCCCAAGTTGTATTTTGAAGAACTATACTCCTAATTTTATCTTCACTCATGGGAGATAGGCTATCTTTTCCTTTCCTGTGAAACTAATCCTGAACATTACTATGTCTGATCTTTATGCTCTGCTATCCAGGAAAAAATATTTTAATTTTATCTGATGTTGAAAACATAGATATTACACATGCATGATAGCTATTAGTACAGTTATAGATGATGTTTGTGCCTCATTGAGCCAAATGCAACCCATTCATCATTTATCCTACAGTGGCAATCTATAATTAGTACTTTTAAATCAAAGGTACATCTGTAGCTTTATCAAACTACACTGAGGACTCAAACTTGGGTGGGAAACTCTTCTCTAGCACATTTAGCCTTAGAGTTAAGATATGCTTTGCCTTTTTTCAAGGCCACATAGTCTGCAACCAGTCCAAAGAATGGCCTTGAAATTCCAAGGCCGAAGGACTGCCTGTGTTGAAGAAGATGGGGAACGATGGCTTCCTTCTCCAGCATGTTCTTCTCTCCATTGCAAAGTAAAAAGGAGTTGGTTATGATTCCTCATTTATTCATTCATTATTTACAAATTGACCTGAATCTTAAGATATGATACAGTCAATGTAAAAGACGGAGAATGGAATGCAGAATGAGTTGCTGTCCACAAATACTGAATGAATAGCTGAAACTTCACTTGGCAGCCAAATGACCTCAGCACCCTGCAATTCCCTCGCCTTTGAGCCAAGCCGAAAGCACACAGTAGATCTGAATGTTGCCATATATTGAAAATCTCAACCATTTGATCTTTGAACATTATCACTGAGCCACCAGCTGCACCAGAGATTTATTGACACACTTACCAGTTTTTTTTTTTTTAAATTAGATTCTTGACATCAATCTAGCTGTTCCATTTCTGCATTAGATCAGGCTCCTTAATATTTTCAAGGGTAGTTCCCCACACACAGTGTGTTACAGTAATTTAATTTGGATATTGCTATTCCAGTGCCCTTTGTGATAGTATTTGTTTATTCGGGTAAGCATATGTAAGAAAACATGTGTGATTCGGGGCTGAACTGTGAAGTCTTTGGTGCTTTCTGAGCTTGATTGTTTGCATGCAGACATTTTATTACCCGGACAGGTAATATCATCAATGCAAGTGAGTGTCGGGTGTTTTTCTTATATACATATGTAGCAATCTCTATGATATTGGACATTCCATACTACTCCATAACATTCCATTGCCCAAATGTATAATAATCTCCATGGCACTCAAGGCAGCCAGTATAAAAATGCAAAGTACTATAAAACTGCAAAAATTCAATGTAAGCCTACATGACGAAGACATAAAATCACAACAAACCTGACTGAAAAGTTAGATCTAGACCATTTTCACACACAAGAGATCACCAATCTGAGGCGGGCACCCCCCTTATATGTCTCCAAAATATCATGTAGAAAAGCCGAACAGATTTATTCTGCAAGTTAATCAGCTTGGTAATTAAGAGGAAACAATGTAGTAAATGTTTCACAACTCTTGCTCTGGAGCTTTAGGGTGGCATGATTTTCTTTTGATAGGAAATCTTACCCTATCTCTGAGTCTTACCTACTCTGTAGAGACAAGGCATCACAACATGTTGGCTTGTTCCCATGTTCTTCCCTATTAAACTAAGGGTTGGTTTTGCTGCTCCCTGCAGATAACAGCTGGCTTTCTTGATATACACACTGCCATTGTGAACACCTTGAAAACTCACGAAGAATTATTTGAACATTCATCCATTGGCTGGCTGGAAGTAATATTAAAGAAAGCAATGATTGGCTCAAGTAGACTTGCAGAAGCTGACATGGGAGCATGAGAACATGCTATTAATTTAGATGGTAAAACTAGTGGTGAGAGCTAAGTAGAACTAAGAGAATGTGCTTTCTAACTTGGGTGTAAAGCAGAAGAAGATTCTCTCCCATATATATGTTTGACATTACTAGACTGCTGAAATTGAAATCATTTTTAGGAGGACCTTCTGGCAAACAGACTAACCCATATTAAGTCAGGGATGTTTAAGCCATTTATAGCTTAATTAAAACTTAAGCTATTCAAAGTTTAAAAGTTACAATTAATATTTTAATTGCACACATAAAATATTTGGGATCCATTGCAGAGTTCCTAAACTAAATATATACACAAACAGTGTACTGGTTAATAGCTCTGCTTGTTATATTTCCACCAACCAATGCTTCTAAATACACTTCAAGTGTCCAAGGTTTAATGTAATCTTCATAATGGAGTCAGAACATAGCTGACCAAAGTCAGAATAATTTGCAATTAGCACACTGAACATTGTATGCAAACTCATTCCCTGCCACTACCTCTAAATTCAGACAGAGGACTGGAAGTCTACTTTTTTTTTATGGAGTGTGATCTCCCTCTGATACTAGTCTGTTAATTCCCAAGCAGGATTTTCTCCTGGTTGGTAAGGTCTACATCTTATTCGCCACATCATTGATCTTAAGTACCAATCAAGAGATTAGATTGCTGTTTTCGTACTACATGACCAGAAGCTAGTAGATATGGATGTCATTTGCATACTGAAGATTCAACAGCACTTTCATGAAGATATTAAACAACACAAAAGATAATATGGAACCCTGCAGCACATGGTAGGATAATGCCCTGGAAAGTGAACAATAATTCTGCAGCACATTTTTATGGATACAACCTCATAATTGCGATCACTGTGGACAGTCTAACAGTAGATATACAGCACAGGTAGTCCTTGACTTACAACAGTTCATTTAGAGACCATTCAAAGTTACAACCTCACTCAAAAAAGTGACTTATGATCATTTTTCACACTGTTGCAGCATCCCCATGGTCATGATTGAAATTCATATGCTTGGCAACTAACTCATATTTATGATGGTGGCAGTGTCTTAGGGTCATGGGATCATCTTTTGTGACCTTCCAACAGGCAAAAAGAATGGATAAGCCAGACACACTTAACAATTGCAATGAATCACTTAACAATTGTGGCAAGAAAGGTCATACAATGGGGCAAAACTCACCTAACAAATGTCTCACTTAGCAACATACATTTTGGGCTCAATTGTGGTCATACGTTTAGGACCACCTATAGAAGTCTGAGATATCCTTAGGGAACTACAGTATTCCTTTTCTGGAATTTGCCAATTTCTTGGCATTCAAGGGTTTATAAAAAAATTGATAGGATACTTGTAGCTACAGACCAGCTAATTACCATAGCAACTTCTAATAGGCTAAGGATCCAGTAGTGAGTATGTATGTGTATGTTCAAGTTCAAACCTTTATTGTCAATGCACAACATGTGTACAATGAGCCTCCATTGGTGCAGCCACACAAAACACAGAATACATCTCAATAATAAGAGAAAATCTGTAAACCCAAGTAAGTAATAGAACTAGGCACACATTTCCACATACATCGGTATGTATGCACATGCATGGATATGTGTGTACATATGGCTCAAAGTTTACTCACTTTTCTAGAAGAACTGCTTGCATTCGGCTTCTCATGCTAGCTCTCATTGTAGTTGATTGGCTTCACTTGGTTCTTACTTATAACTTACTAAGTACTTAGTACTACTAGTAGTTAGGTACTAACAAGTCCAATCCAGTCCGAGCTCTTTGTTGCAAACTTGCCAACTTCCACAGAATATTTGATTGGGCCACCTTACCCACATCCAATTCACAATCAGTAAAATA